AAAGTATTAAAAAATAAAGTAGGACCAGTTGAAAATATGCATGTTTAGATCACATTGCATGTAATTTTCATGCTACACATTCACACTTGATCTATGTCATTTGATTGTGTTGATATACATGATCATTGAGGGTTTAGTTATAATACTTGTTACGAAAATCGCTTTGATCATAGATTGACATAATTAATGAACGAGTATTGAGCTCATAAGGTTATACACATTTATAAGGTAACATATGTGGCTCAAGTGGGTGATTGTTGGGAAATGATTTAATTTGTCATGTGAGCCGACATATGTAATTCATTGTGTATAAAGGTTAGCTTAAAATTAAACCCAATTCATATGTGAAATACATATGGAATCTATATATAGTGTTATGGTCCTCAAATTATATGCAATTCTCATTCTTAGTGTCATCCCATTAATATAAAATTTAAAGAGAAAGCATATTGAAGAGTAAGATCCAAAAATCCTCAGTCAAGAATTACAATCAAGAATCAAGATCAATTAATCAAGAAGAATGTTTGAAACAAATAAATTGAAAAACAAGACAATCAAGATTAAAAGCAATAAGATAAATCAAGAGGAGATTGTAAGTTGATCTTCAAGACAAAAGATTAAATCTTCAAAATTCATTATTCAAGATACAAATCAATGTATTAAAGTATGTTCCGCATTAATTATTTTTCTTGGTGATTTGATATGAAGATCTTGACAATTATGTAAAGTTTATAAAGTTTAAATTTCATGAAAAATTCAACAATGCCTCGTGAGGGGTAATGGAGGTGTGCGAAGGTAGGTTGAAGTTAAGTTCTCATAAGCGTAATGGTATAGCCAGTCAACTTGACGAAAAGAGATGAAAGTCAGTAATAGTGATATGGGAGTCCAGTGTGAAAGTGCTATCGCTCAACGTATCAAAGGTATGTCGAGGATAATAGGCAAATAACTCCCAAAAGAATTTTTTTCTTATCAATCTCAAACTAGTCTAATATTATTACTCGTACCAAATTAACGGTTTAATCACGTATTTTTCTAATTGAACTGTCGGGTTAGTCTGCATTTTATAACATTAATGCTAGGATTAGATTTAACTTTCTAGAGGAGCATTGATGAGTCAAAACTGTTCAATTAGGTGATAACTCGAGATTTTATTTTCAATGACAATAACTAACATTAAAATTCTAGTGAATTTGATGACATGTTAGAGCCTTGCTTGAGGATCGACTCGAACTTATTTGTTAAACTTGATTGTGCTTTATATATATTACAATTTACAAATTTGTTTATCAACATATGATGTAGCGAGATTTGATCGAGTCAAAATTTCACAAACCAAAAAAATAAAAAAAAATCCCTCATTTTCTTTTTGTCATATCATCAATTTGTAAAAGAATCTGTAAATGAAAATATAGAATAAACATTTTCCTTGTTAAATAGTTCAATCTTATCTAGGGGTGGGCAATGGGTGGGGTCGGGTCAAAATTGACCCAAAATCGACCGGATCCGATACACTCGGTTTTGGTCTCTTGCACAAACCGACCCGATCCGGCTCTTATCCTAAACCGACCCACCCGAATCGGGTCGGTTCTCCATTTTCAAAATTTGATTTCTCTAATATACAATATTTCTCACCATCCGAAGCCCCAATCAGATTCTCCACATGATTTTTATCATCATTTTCATTCTCATAGGTAAAGTATGAAACGCAATCAGAAGTCCAAAAAACACAAAAAATACACTGACTTGTTGAAGAAATTAAGAGTTTTGTTGGGAAGCTTCCACATTAAAACACCAACAAATGACACCAGCACCGGCCCACATCCACCCTTGCACCACTATCATCGTCGGATTCCGTCATGCGAGGGGGTCTAGCAGCGGCGGCGGAGGAACGGCGGAGCTGGAGGAGGACACGCATTTTGTATTTTTTCCCTTGGTTTGGTGTTTTCCTCTGTGGTAAAGGAGCTTTGCCACTTTGGGGGCAGATTTGGTAGGAGGAAAAGCAAGGGGAAAAGGAAATGAGGGTTGCTGGAATTTTGAAAGATGAAAATAGAGATTGAAGAGGGTTCCATTTTGAAAGATTGGTTGGGTCGGTTTTGGGCAACCCAACCTGACCCACAATTATTTTAAAATTATTTTACCCGACTGACCTGAATTTATCACTAAACCGACCCGACCCTACCCGATTCGGGTCGGGTCGGGCTGTAGGTTTAAAGCCCAGTCCTAATCTTATCCATCCCGACAAGACCCGATTTATAAACTCTTCGTTCACCATGTTAGGTCAATACTCGAGGCATGGCAACTAGGTTTCATTCGGAGTGAATGCTAATATAAAACAGCCGACAACTTTGATAGTGGAGAAGACTACGTAATTTAATATGTTATAAATTTACTTTTTCCCTAGCAACATGAAAGAAGACAAATAATAATAGTTTTAGCACTATTTAAAGGAGTTGCTCACCCAAAAAAACCTCAAACTCCTTGATAGAGATGACCAATTTGTTAAAAGTTTAGGAGGTGTGTATATATATATATACTAGTATCATTTTTTGTTAAAGCTTATAATTTTTTAAAAGCACATTTTTATGGAACAACTCTTTGTACTTCTTTAAAAAGTACTTTTAATCTATGTATAGAATTATTAAAAAAAAAAGTACTTTTAATTCTATACCACTAATAACAATAAAAAAAAATACACAAAAAATTATGCAAAATCTATAGAGGTTCATCGATGTGCGATTACATCATCTTCCTTCACTTTTGTAATTCATTACGATGAAAAGAAATTTATAAGAGAATTTTTACACACTATTTTCTTTAACCTTTCCGTTTTAGATGATCATCGGATAAACTCTAATGATGACTCCCTATTTATAAGAAAAAATATGAAAAATCGAAATTATAAGTGTGAAATTTCTAAACTATCATTACAAAGTCGATCTGATTATGGACTCTGTTTAATAACAATAATTAAACTCCACAAGTTAACAATCTAAACACGAAGAGAAAATGAATCAGTTGCAAGTAGGCACTATGGGGATTGATGATTTGAGTAAGCATGACTGATCGGAAACTTCAAAATGCATAATCTTAATGTACTTCAAAATACATGTACCAACCATCCTAAATCCCTAGGAGTTAACGGTTCACACCTAAAAAACAAATACTACAATGAAAACTAGTGAGTAACACATTAGTTTCTAAAACACATCAAATTATTATATCGATATTGATAAATGTGTTTTACACATTTATACTTCTAATCTTGATAAATTACGATTTCTTTGAGCGGATTTTCACAATTATGTGATTTGTAGGAAAAGCTCAAATGGTATAAAAAGTAGTGATTTTGAGCTTAATTGGATCTTAATGTATGCACTTGAAGATGGGTTGAAATCAATCAATTGAAGTAAGATATATATATAGAATTGAATGAATCTCGCACCAAAATTAGCTTCTTTCCTCAAATTCTAGATTTCTAGGTCTTGCTTTTCTTCCTTGTATTATCACTCTATTACTCAAAAAGTGGGGGGCTATTTTCTCATCCGAGATTAGGTTTTTATATGGTGTTACATTTCAAATAAGAGTTTCCATGAAAGATAAATTCAAAACGAATCAAAGTAGATAAAAGATAGAAATAAAATAAAATAAAATTGTAAAAATTGTCTCAAGGAACCGACTGTGAGTTGCCAACCCGTGGTATGTAGTGTTTCCCGGCGGCAACGGGTCAGCCGCTGGTTTGCAAATCGCGGTCCACCTGTTGCCGCAATTGTCATTTTGTAATTTGTTCCTTGAACTTTCTAAAACTTTCATTTTGGTCCCCCAAACTTTTCAATTGTCAAATTTTTGTCCCTAATCTTACGAATCTCATCCAATTCGTCTAAAACTACTTCCAATTGATTGATTTCAATTCCGAATGATTTCAAGTGCCCACATTAATCTCCAATTAAGCTTGTTTGATGGCTCATAATTGATCATATATATTAAGTTAATCTCCAATTAAGCTTGTTTGATAGCTCAAAATTGATCATATATATTAAGCCCCCATTTGGTTTGGATTAAAATTCAATTAAAATTTCAAGTCAGAGTCAATACTTAATTTTAATCAAGCGTTTTATGGGATCCATAACTTTTCAACTATACATTTCATCAACTTTTATCAAAATTTACTAAAAAATTGATTTTTAATATCTACCAAACGGGGGTTAAGTTTGAGAAAAAAATTATTTTTGACAAGTCAAACACAGTCTGGAATTGATAAAAGCAAACTAATAAGTTAAATGAATATTTGAAAGAATTACTTGTACTTTTGGACGAATATGATTAGGATAGTAGTTTATGATAGTTCGATTATTAAAGATTATGATTCTAATTCGATTATTAATTAATCTTAACACTAATCTAACTTAAAACTAGTATGTCATATGCATGATGTCAATTCATTCAAAATCATTTCACAGCAAAGGTTAACCTCCCGATTTTCTCAAATTCTCTTTAATTCATGCAAAATACATGCATACGTATACGCACAAAACACACAGATTTTTGCCTCGAGTTTCCTTTTCAACTCGAGCTCTATTTTTCAATTGCTAGTTCAACAAGCATTCTCGATATTATGCTTTGAATAAAATTCGTGAAGCAACCATGAACATATTGCTTCTTGTGGTCCCTTTACAATGCTGGGCACTACGACTTTGATTGACCGTTTAAAAAACTGTTTGCCACCCAACTTATAGCATAGTTTCATTTAGTCATCAAACTTTCTTTTCTTTTGCTTTAAGTTTGTCACTGAACCTTCATTTTTTATTGGCGAACAGATAACGCAAAGCTTAATCTAGCGGGTTTGGGAATTGTGCCGGAGGAGCTAACTGAGGATAGTTTTGAAACTTGGAAAAATTGCTTGAAAATTTATTTCATAGGGAATGGGCTTTGGAATGTTGTCTCTAAGGACACTAAACCAGATAAGAAAAATAAAAAAGAGCGTGAAGAATGGAAGAAAAAGAATGCTTTGGCTCTGCATGCTATTCAACTTTCCTGTGAATCAGCAATATACTCTTAAGTTTAAAGAACACATTTCTGCTCACCATGTATGGACTCATTTGACTGAGAGAGATTGGGGACGGGTGCGACAACTGGTGCCAAGCTCAGATCATGACGAAGAAAGTCATGTCGAAGATAATGGTAATGTATCAATCCTTGTGATGCACAAGCTCGTCTAAATCTTATCATTTTATAAGAAACATGAAAATGCATTATTGGTTCTCAATTAGTTAAAAATGTGCAGGCAAGTTATCAACCTTTTATTACAGTTTCACAATCAGTTCTCAAAGACGGAAACCGTTTAATTCTTTGTTAAATTGTCAAGCAAACTTCGGTAGCTATCTATACAATTTAACTCTCAGACATTCTTCCACAAGAACAATGTGGTGGCGCCAATTTTCCCTTTTATTTAATGAACTTTGTATTCGACACAAGCCCCCTCACATACAGGTCAACTTCATTGATTGAAGGTTCGAGAAAGTACCTTGATTATGAGCTCTTATACAAGGCAGTTGAAGAAGGTAAGTGGCATTCTATAGAAGCTATCCTTCACGAGCATCAAGATGCCATTAGGGAAAACATTTCATCACACAAAGATACAGCTCTGCACATTGTAATTTTGTCTGGACATACTGAAATTGCAGAAAAACTTGTAAAACGGATGGAGCCAGGCGACTTAGAACTGAAAAATGAATATGGAGCTACGGCCTTATCTCTTGCTGCGATTTGTGGTGCGAAGAAACTGGCCAAGGAAATGGTACGTAAGAACAAAAAATTAGTTACAATACAAACTGCAGATCATGAAGATGGGCATCTTCCTGTGATTGTGGGTGCATTGTATGGACAAAAGGAAATGGTTCGTTATTTATACAAAATGACGCCAAAAGATGAGCTGAGTCCTGAAAAGGGTGAAAATGGAGTCGAAC